AATTGAAAAAATCTTTTTAGAGGAAGGTTTGACAATATATATAATTTTAAATATGTGTACCTTTGACCTAGAAATTCCACCCTTTGGAACCTACCCTATGACTAGACTGTTGGTTCAAATGTTAACACCATCACTTACTAACATTGTAAGTTTAGACAAATTAACCACCTCAGGCCTCAATCGGTAAAATAAAGATAATAGTACTTATCAGGTTATTGTGAGGATTAAGAGATGAATACTGGGAGGGAAGAGGGAAGAGAGAGCAAGAGGGAGTTAAATGTATTAAGATGCGTTATGTATATGTTCCAATTCCCCACAATGAATGTAATCATTATGTATTGCAAATGTGTACTAAAAAACATCTGTTAAAAGTGATGAGTGTATATGAAGTTCTCCATACCTGGACAATACTGAAATATTAATACTTCTCCTGTATACCAAGTATACATAAAAGGCTATATATAGCCAGATTGATTATTTATAAAGCCACAAATCAGGAAACTATGGAGTTAAAAACATAAATATGTCTACATGATGAAATACACAACACAAGAGATCAATCTATATCATGATGGAAAAATTTAAAACCACAAAAGGCAAAAGTTACATTAGTTACAATGTATAGTGTGATACAATTAGTGTAAATAATGAAGATAATAATGCAACTGTTGAATACATGAATTTTGAATGAATATGAATGAAAAAATCTGTAGGATCAATCTGAAACTTTAGTGTATATATCTGGGTTAAGATTGTGAAAGTATTCTCACTTTCCCATTAGAACTTTTAGCGTATTTTTTTCCATATGCCTGTTACTTTTGTGGATCTTAAAAATCATAGCAGTGACCCAAACCACAAACCAGTGACTGGCCATGGGCAAGACAGAGGGAAGAGACAGAGAAGGACCCTGAGAGTGTGTCTCTTGCCTCAGGAGCAGATGATCAGATTTCTTCTGTCCCAGTGGTCATCAAAGCCTGGGGGGCACTGAAGGGGTCTTGGGAGAAAAGCTGGGTGCTACAGAGGCTACAGGTGGGAGACAACTTCATCTCTGCTGCAGTCTCATTGGCCTTGTTTTTTATCAGTCTGATGGCTCCACCCTGTCTCTGTCCCTGCTCTTAAACAAATCCTTCAGTTAGAGAAAAGCGAGGAAGTGCATGGGGAAGGTAGGAGAAAAGAAGAAAGGAGAGGAAGAGGGGAGAGGTAGAGAGGAAAGAGAGGGGTGAGAAATGCAATGCCCCTGCTTCTCCATGGCCCCAGGAAGTAGGACGTGGAACTGCTCTTCAGCTCTCTGTCAGGAGTCGCCATGGAGACTGAGCACTGGTCTCCTCGTGATTAATACTCCCAGGCAGCTGTCTTCTCGGAGTCTTTTTAAATATATACACTATTATTTGAACACAATGATATTTACAGCAGAAAGATCGAGGTGGGGAATGGTGGAGGGAACAGGAGCATTACCAGAAGCATGACAAAGGCTAGGCCTTTCCCAGGGATGGGCGGGGGGGGGCTGCCTTTCCTGTTCTCCTCTTCTCTCACCACCCTACTTCATCCCCTGGATACAGAGCTTCCAGTCTTTGGCACTGTGACATCTGAAGGGCCTGAGCAGCACCTGGCACAAGGCTGTGCTCAATGAACATTTGGTGAATGAGTTCATTCATTCATTAATTCTTCAGCAAGTGTTTGTTCAATGCTTGTCTAGAAAGTAAACTCTCCTTCCCTTACCTGTCCTCATAGAAATATGAAATTCCTTCTCATTCTCCCCAAGGCCACACACACACACACACACACACACACACACACACACACCAATACCACCTCCACAGTATTTCCTAAGGACACACTGCCTCAGCAAGGTGCCTGCTATGGTCCTCTGCATGGCAGTCACTCCAGGGAAGTCTTGCAAGAATGGGCACTGGACAAATGGAATTTGCATGTCACATTCTGCTTGAAAAGCTATAGGAAGATCCTCCATCTAAAGCCATCTCACAGTGAATCCTTTTGTAAAATGAGTTATCATTTTCTGAATTATCTTATGGAGTAAATTAGCCCCAGCTCAACCCTGCCAGAAAAGGGAAGTGTGGCCTTGGGCAAGACATTTAACCTTTTTAAAATCTGTTTCCTCATCTGTAAAATGAATCTGCAACTTCTTGCTCCAAAGACTTTAGTGATAGAACATTTGTCAAGGGCTCGATGTATGTGATTTCCTTTCTGTATATTTTATATATGAAGCGTGATTAAAGTGGAGCTCGAGGATCTAAGTCCCTCTTCCATCCCCTCCCAAAGACCTTTATTCCATCTGGGCCCAGAATCCCTTTTTAAGCTGTTAAAAGTCATGGGAAAGAGGGGTTGAACTGAGAAGGGCTTTAAAATACTCAGCCTCCCCCCATCATACCCCATCCCTGTCCTCAAGGAACCAATTGCAGGTGCAAATTGCCCTCCAGAGGCAGCCTTCCTGAGTGTGAAAATGTGTGTACATGTGTCACTGAAGGAGAGCACACTGAGATAGAGGTGTGGGTCAGTCCATGCCCAAAGCAAACTGTTTCCCTGTCTCCTCTCTTAATCACTCCTATTCTCTAGCCCTGCCCCCAGTCCTGTCCTCTAACAAGAGCCAGTTAGGGTGACTTGGACCCTTATCCTAGCACAGACCAAACCCAACAGCCCTTGGCAGTGAGCAGCAATGGCCTGGCCCCTCACCAAAGGACTAGGAGAATTATCTATGGCTAAGTAGGAGAAAGAATGCTGTGGCAGAGGGTAGAACAACAGAAGGGATGGGCAACCTGGGGCTGGCCAATCTGGCCCGACGGGGTGACCTGGGGAACCCTGGATACCAGCCCAGCAAAAATCCTCCCATCCCCTCCCTCCCAGGCAGCAAGATGCCAGAGTGGATTTGAGACATGTGTGCCCTATGTGTCTAGTGTGGACTCACCTGGTCTTGGCAATGCATTTGGATTAGAATCAAACCCTGAGTCTGATATAAGAGTATGAAAAAAATAGTGGTCTGTGTCTCTAATCCTTATAGACAAGTGCTGGGTTTCTGCATTTCCTGCACACACATATATGTGCTGCTAACATAGAACCATACAGCTGGTCATTTATTAGAATATGTTGTGTTGCCCGGGATTGAGCTCAGTGGTTCTGCTGCCTGCCTTGTAAGTGCAAAGACCCGAGTTCGATCCCCGATACCAAAAAAAAAAAGAAAAGAAAAAGAATATGCTGTGAAACCCTTTGCATGATCTACAAGCTTGAGGAGAAGATATGCATAAATGTGTCAGCATATGTTTTGCAGGTGATTATGTGATGGGACATATCTGTGAATACACTTGTGGAGTGGGGGAGTGGGTAGCTAGGGATGGAGATGGGCTTCTCCAGTAGAAGAAAAAGTTAAACCTATTATCTAGTTTATAATAGGCACTTAAAGAATGAATACTGAATGAATGAATATTGAGAAATTGAATGAATGGATTTTTACATTAATAGAGAAAGAGTGAAAGGCCTGAGAACTTGATGGGGTTTGGGCACTTGTGGACCCTCTCTCTTGCAAAGAAGAGTAGGTTGAGGAGGCTGGGCGATATACTGCTAATCCACAGTAGCACACTACCCACAAAGGGTTCTGTTTCCATACAAGTAGAGTAGAAAAGGAAAGGGGGCCCCAGACCTGCCGCCTCAACCTTTAGGACCCAGAGTCCTAAGAATTGAAGCTCTTCAAGAAGAAGAAAACTGTAAAGCCATTCTACTTATTACTTATTTCCCTCGGTTGGTTCCAGAATGGAGCTACTGAACTAAGATAAAATAACATTTTTAAAGGCAATAAGAAAATGAAGTGGAGAAGAAGCCACAGCAGGAAGAAGTGGAGAAACCACAGAGGGATCTAGAGAGTAGGCAGCAGATTTCTTTGCTGGAATTGATTCTGATGCTTCTGCAACACAAATTCAGAGCCTCCTTAAAGTTAAGGATTTTTTTCCCCCTCAGAAGCAGCCAGATTATTCCAGATACTGATTCCAAGGAAATATTTCCTGTAGAGTTTCTGTGTGTTGCTGGAAACAACATCTCTTCATTTATATGAAGGCAGAAAAATGGTCTACAGAAGCATTGGACAGGGAACAAGAATTGGCTCACTTTCTCTGAAGAACAATTTGCCAACTATTTATCAAAATTTTAATATATTTTGGCCCAGAGTTGCACTCATAGTAGTTTATCCCAGAGGTATGTTCACCCTTATGTAGTCGAGGATGTTGACTCTAACAAGCTGGTAAAAACAAAAGGTTGAAAACTGCCTATATGCTCATGGATGGATGACCTATTGACTCATGGTCCTCCATTACAATAGACTGCTGTACAGTGTTAGAAGAGAGCTAGGTCTTTGTGTTTAGACACGGTGGAATCTCTCAGATTTTTAAGTGGAAAAAATAGTATACTGCAGAACACTGTGCATGTTTGCCTATGCATACATTTTTTTTCTGAAAAAAAATACCCAACAAACCTTAAATATGCCTACCTCAGGAGGTAGGAATGAAGGTGAGTTGAACAGCGACATTTGTTTTTAAATTTGTAATATATGCTTTTGTAAATAAATAAGCATATAAAGTGTGACTTGAAAAAACACACTTTTGTACTGACTTCCCCACACACTTAAAAAAATTAACAAACTTTTAAAAATGGAAAAACAGACGTGAACAAAACCCATAAATAACAGCTTACTGAGTACTCCTGGGACTTTATGTTCTCTCAGTTTCCCTGCACTGCAAATTCACGGGTTAGGAAGGAGTAAATGTAGTAAGTGGCAAAGAGCGGATTCGAACTCGAAAACTAAGGAATTTCAAAACTCTTGGTGGTTCCACCTTGTCGCCGTCAGACCTCCACCTCCAGGTTTCCATCGCTACCCCTGGAAGTTCGGCCCGAAGCCTCGCACAGCCCCTGCCCAGCGAGCCCGCGGCCCGGCGCGCACGGGGCGCCACGCTTGGGGAGCGCGCGCACGCAGCGGCGGCGGCGGCGGCGGCGGCGACGTCACTAGCCGAGCTTTCCTTTTCGGGAGTCCCCGGTACACATCCTGTGTCCATGTTTGGGCATTTACGTCACGGCGGCAGGACCGGGGCCTCCCGAAATGGCAGTGGCCCGGGGAGTCGGAAGCCCGAAGCCAGCGCCGCCGCAGCTATATAAGTGGGGGGGCTGTTGGTTGGGGGAGCCCGACTGCGCTTTGGAGAGGCGAGGAGCCGCCGCCCGAGGCCGGCGCGGGCGAGTGAGGACGCCGCAGACCCCAAACCCTTTTCCAAGAGGTGAGCGCTCGAAGCCAGGAGCTCGGGCGCCCGGGTCTGCGCGTTGCCGCGGGGCGCCCCGACCGCCGGCCTCCCCGCAACCTGCACGCGCCCAGGCCCAGCGGGCGAGGCCCCCGGTGCCCCGCAGCCGCCGCCGCGCCATGCTCCACCTTGGCGAGCTTTCCGGCCCCGACGCGCTGCAGGGCAAGTCCACCGAAGGCTGTTGCGTCGAACGCTGCACTGAACTGCCCCGGCTGCCCGCCAGGGACGCTCCCGCGGCCGCTGGCTATTCTGGAGGTAAGGAGCGCAGCCAGGGGTGCTCAGACGGGGGGGGGGGGGGGGGGGGGGCAAGATTCCAGAGAACCAACAGGGTCTGGGACCCTGCAACTATGGGGATGAGGATATGGCAGGCGCGGGAGTCACGGGGTGCGCACTCCCTTTACCATCACCACTACCGCCACCACCCCCAGGCCGCCAGCGCCCCCGCCGGAACCTCTGCGTTCATTAGGGCACCCTTTTTTGCCTGTGCATGTTTGTGTGTACGTCCTGGGGCCTATGCTGGCCCCTGCTGGAGCAAAATATGCAAAAGGCACTTTGCATGTCTCCGTGAGCCCCAGCGGCTTCTTGGGTAGGGACTGCAGACTCAGAGAGAAGCCCTTTAATGTGCCCAGAGCTGATTCCTGCTCCTCCTTCAGCAGGCGACTTCTTGAGCTGGGCTTTGAGCAGCTGCGGCACCGGGGGGGAGTTAGCCGACTCCTGCTTCCTCGAGGGTCCTGCGCCCACGCCCCCTCCGGGCCTCAGCTACAGCGGTAGCTTCTTCATTCAGGCAGTACCGGAACACCCGCACGACCCAGAGGCACTCTTTAACCTCATGTCGGGCATCCTAGGCCTGGCACCCTTCCCCAGCCCTGAGGCGACAGCTTCCAGATCCCCGCTGGATGCCCCGTTTCCCGCGGGCCCCGACGCCTTGCTCTCGGGTCCGCCGGACCTTTACTCCCAGGATCTGAGCGCGGCCACCTTCTCAGAGGCGTTTTGGGAGGCTTCGCCTGCGGCTGGCGCCCCCTCGCAGTGCGTGTATGAGCCCCAGCTCTCTCCACCCGACGTCAAGCCCGGCCTTCGGGCCCCTCCAGTCTCTCCAGCGCTGGACGCTGCCTCCGTCTTCAAAGGTCCCTACGCACCCTGGGAGCTGCTTTCTGTTGGTGCCCCAGGAAACTGTGGGTCACAGGGAAGCTACCAGGCCGCCCCCGAGGCTCGTTTCCCCTCAATAGAAACCAAGATTGAAGACCTGCTGTCCATCAGCTGCCCTGCTGAGTTGCCGGCCGGCCCAACCAACAGACTCTACCCCACTGGGGCCTACGACGCCTTCTCGCTGGCTCCTGGTGACTTAGGGGCCGAGGGCCTCCCGGGGCTCTTGACCCCTCCTAGCGGGGAGGGAGGGAGTAGCGGCGACGGTGGAGATTTTCTGGCTGGTACGCAGCCTCAGCTTTCCCCGCTAGGCATTCGCAGGGTCGCCAGCACGGACTTCCCAAAACCTCTCGTGGCCGAAATATCCGGGAGCAGTGGCGTGGCTGCACCGCCTGGGCCGCCGCCCTCAGCCTCTTTCTCCCAAGCCAAGGCGCGGCGCAAGGGGCGCCGGGGCGGCAAGTGCAGCGCACGCTGCTTCTGCCCGCGGCCTCACGCCAAGGCTTTTGCTTGCCCGGTGGAGAGCTGTGTACGGAGCTTTGCGCGCTCCGACGAGCTCAATCGCCACCTGCGTATCCACACTGGCCACAAGCCCTTCCAGTGCCGCATCTGCCTCCGCAACTTCAGCCGCAGCGACCACCTCACCACTCACGTGCGCACCCACACCGGCGAGAAGCCTTTTGCCTGCGACGTGTGTGGCCGTCGCTTCGCGCGCAGCGACGAGAAGAAACGACACAGCAAGGTGCACCTTAAGCAGAAGGCGCGCGCCGAAGAGCGGCTCAAGGGCCTCGGCTTTTACTCGCTGGGTCTTTCCTTTGCTGCAATGTAATCAGGAGCCGAGTTTGGAGGTTGGGGCGCCGCCACCTGCTGCGCACAAGATCTGACCTCACACACACGCACACGCACACGCACACACACACACACGCACACACACACGCTCTTCCCAATTTTCCCTCGCACGCCCCGGGGCCGGCCTCTTGTCCTGTTTCCAGTTCCCTTTAAACTCCCGCCGAACACGCCCCGTTCAGCACCAGATGCGTGGATGGCTCCCGTAGTCCTGGAGCTGTCTCCTTGTCCGCCGAGCTTTGGGGAAAGTCCTCTCAGGCCACCCACTGAGTAGACCCTTCCTTGGGACTCAAGACAGTCTTTTGTAACTGGCACGCGCCCCACAGCCCCCTGTATAACCCCCCAGAGATAGGGTGGGGCTGCGCTGAGCCGGTCTCGCGCGGGACTTTGTACAGCAATGTGTTTCCAGCAGCCATTGGATGTAACGTTTTGCTTTGGGGTTATGTCCTTTTTGTTGTTAATTTTTGTAAGCAGACGCTACTCTTAAGCAGTTGACAAAACTGTTTATTTTTGCAATTAAAGTTGTGCTAAAAGCTTAATGAATCTGCCATGTAAACTCCTGACCCTTCCCTCAACCCCTGACCTAGGAAAGTATGTGTCAGAAAACAGAGTAGTTCCCCATGCTTATGAGGTACAAGCCTTGAACACATTCCACATGTCCTGTCAAGCACACCTACAATGCAGTGACATGTAGTAGGCATTCAAAAAATGTGTGTTGAACTAATGAATGAATTTAATCACAACTAACCTAAGGGCTAGAGTTGGTTCTGGAACTAGAAAGCGATTGAAAGCTGTAGGTGTTAAATATTGTGCTTGTATCATCCTCCTCAAGCCTCACTCAAGTGAAGCAGCATAAACCCCATTTCAATGATGAAGAAGCAGTGTAGGTAAATTTCTGGGTAACCCAGCTAGAAACAGGATCAAACATTTCTAACTCCAAAACCAATGCTCATTTTCTGACCCCAGAATGGAGGTGTCTGAGCTTAATACAACTCTTTGTAGAGGCTTCCTTCTAGAAAGATGGAAACAGGTTCGGCAACTAGAGGGAGCCCTAGGCAATAGTGACAGCAGCAAAAGGCTAGTGTTCAGCGTTGTTTGTGAATACCCAGTGTTCAGAGTCACACTCCCTGTGCATCTGTTCAAGAGTCACATGCTGTGAGGGCCAAAAGGGTCTCAGCATTCAGCTGGACCACTTCTGAGTCTACCAAGGAGTAGATCCTGCCAAAAGCTCACAGATCTTCTCCAGGAAGCAGCAGCCCACTTGCCATCCAGCCAGCATTTGCAGTCATCCTTTCCCAAGCTTTCCTTCCAAGTGATCCCTTCATGGTTTGGGGAAAGGGTGACCAGGAAAATGGTGAGGAAAGTATGATCCTGTAATGGGGAAGGTGGGCCTCCCTCTTCCTCTGTGAACTCTCTCCCCAAAGCTTTTACCGTTTTTGCCCCCACTTTGGGCATTCCATGCACCTATTTTCCCTTCCTGGTGACTCCAGTCTGCTAAAGCAGGGAGAGGGCCTGTGTGTAACATTCTTTCCCCTTCTGAGCTGAGCTGTTCTTTAATGGAGAGCCCACAGCTCTGTGAGGCTAGATCAACCCACCCTCTGATCCTCTGCCTCCCTCCACCTCCCCAGCACTGGGAATTGAACCAAGGATCTTCACACTGAGCTGCATACTCAGCCTTTTTATTTATTTTACTTTATTTTTTACTTTTCAGTTTTGAGACTGGGTTTCACTAAGTTGATAAATTGCCCGTGCTGGGCTTGAACTTGTGATCCTCCTGTCTCAGGTTCCTAGAGTGCTGGAATTACTGGTGTGCACCACCACACCCAACTGTCCTCTTGACTCTTCATCCCTCTGCTCTCACATACACTCACCTTCCCGCAGTCCACTTGACCAGAAACTAATCCATTCAGAGAATTCCCTCCTTTTTTTCTCCCCAGGTATTAAGTGCTTTCACAAGGCTAAGTATCATATCTAATAAGCTAACTTGTGATAGAGAATTTTGTGTTACCTTTTCTAGGGGAATTAGCATTTTAGAAGAGTAGCTTGCAGGAGTCAACATGTAACCCATGGAGTGGCTCAAAAGATGGGTTGCCAGACATGTGATAGGTAAGTGGTAGATTCCAGAGAACAAGATAATGGTGACTCCCATTGTCTAACTACTTAAATGACTAGGCCATTCACTTATAGGCATGGACTACCTGACCTTGCTTTCCATGTGCTGTAGGATAAGAAATAGCATAAAGGCCTATATTTTAAGCACTTGGTCCCAGACCACACAACCTAAGACAAGAAAAGGTGCAGATAGCCTGTGGGTATCTGACCTCTGACCACTACCCTTACCCCTCCAGCTGTACTCCATCAAATGCTGTTATGTCCCGTCTTGTCCTGATATTAGGCCTAGTATTCTGATGAGAAAATGGAACTTTGAAGAAGTGACTTAGCAGTAGTCCTGGTATCAGAGCCCAGCCTGGATCAAGAAGTCCTTCCTGTGTCCCCATTTACTGAAGCTTTCCCTAGGGATCTTGAAGGAAGAGACTATTGGGCCAGAGATGGAGAGAATAAAGTCAATCAGAAAATCAACCCAAGTCCAGGACCCAAAGAGAATTGGGAGCCTCTTTTTCATCTGGTCCTCAAAATGTGAGCATCTCTCCAAACTCAGTTTTTAATTCTTTTCTTTCCTATTTCAACTTTGTCCTTAGAGAGCATATTCATTGCTAGTTTTTCTACCATAACCCTTACCTAAATGACTTTTAAGTCAGACCATCTCTCCATGGGTGCCTACTACCATTTTAGATAACAATTTTTCAGAGGCAGTTCATCCTACTTCATCAAGGGACCAGGTTAGGACAGACAAGCAGTAGACTCTTCCATCCCTTCATGGGTTGTCTCAACACACCTTGTGCTTACATTTCTTGTTCTCATTTCCCTTTTTTAAAGTTCATATAGATTTTATTTCCTTTCTAGCAAACTCAACTAAGCATTTTGTGAAGCAGTGCACATATTCTGTAGCAAGTCTTTGAGTTATCCAGTTGATAGTTTTGCTGAAAATGGAAGCCAAAAGATGGTGATTCCATTACTAGAATATTTCCCACATTTATCTTCTATGTGCCTGTTGCTCACCTCAGTCTACACCAGTGATGGCGAATCTTTTAGAGCTTCCAGTGATACAAACAGCCTGCTGCAGCATGCGTGCCATAGGTTCATCACCGCTGGTCTGTACCATCACTTCCAGATACACACACACCTTGGCTATGATAATAACATAATATTATAATTGGATGGAGCTTGTAAGAATGTTTCATCCTGGGCCGGGGATTTAGCTCAGTGCTGCTGCTGCCTGCCTTACAAACACAAGGTCTTGAGTTTGATCCCCAGTACCAAAAAGAAAAAAGAATGTTTTATCTACACCCTCACTGTATAGAAGAGAATAGTGAGGCTCAAAAGGTTTGGGAATGTTCTTAAGGGCACACAGGAAGAGACTATAGTGGACCTTGAACCTGAGCCTCCCGGTTTCAAGATCAGTGCATATATGAGATATGATATTTAAAAATGTGTATTTAAATTTTTAAAAATTTATTACAGTAAAAGGCACTTTTCCATTTTCCATGAAGAAACTCATTTTGAACACCCTTATCCTATCATTTTTGCCACTTTCTGAAGTAGTTCTGGAAGTCCTCTTTTGTGAATATTTTTAGTTGTACTGTCATAGGTGTCGTGATGTCCTGCATTGATTCAAAACATTTACATTTCATGGTCATTTTAACTTTGGAGAAGAGCCAGATGTCACACGGTCCCAGATAAGGTGGATAAGGACACACTGTAATGTTTTTATGTGACAGAAATTTTCATAAATGTTTTGAATAAAGACACAAAATCAGATATCCAGAACTGCTCCAGAAAGTGGCAAGAACAATGGGATGCATGTGTTCAAAGCAAAGGAGAGTACTTTGAGGGAAATTCATGGCAATGTGTCTTTTATTGTAATAAATTTTATTCCTACTTAAATATTTACCATATTTTGTGATGACACAACACTAATGATGAAAATTCCTTAAAGTACCCTTCATTGAACACAATAGTGATTTATTCCCAACTGACCAAGGCTTCCGCCTTCCTACAAAACATATACACCCTTGCAGTTACAGTCCTCCATATATGATTCAAATTCATCTTCCAACCTCCTCTACCATCTCTCCCTTTATTTTTTGCCCTCTCTTCTTTCCCCACCTATTATCCAAATGCTCCCATCTTTGAGCTGGGTTTTTTTCCAGTACCAGGAATCGAACTCAGAACCTTTCACTTGCCAGGTAGGCACAGTGCCTCTGAGCTAAATCCCTGGACCTTCAGCTTGTTTTGAGCCACATTTATGATTCCCATATCACCAGGCCTACTTCCCAGCACATTTTAAGCACTTAACTGTTGTGCTGATTAGTTGATACCCCCCCCCAAAAAAAAAGCCTCAAAAGGAGAAGGGGAAGAAGAGAAAGAACATGGCTAGAGAGCATGGTGCCAGAAAAGAGAAGATGCAGAATGGGGGCTGATCCAACTATGGGGCCCCATGAGTGGGACCATACCTCTATAGTTAGTCCAGGCTTGTCTAATTCTTGCTAAGCCCGCTATTCTCTGCCTCAGCTCTGGGACCCCAGATATGCAGATGTGATGTGCCTGTCACTGAGAGTCAGAGCCTCTCTCTCTCTCTCTCTCTCTCTCTCTCTCTGTCTCTCTTTCTCTCTCTCTCCTCTTTCAGTTTTTCTTTGGCCTACATGGAGTGGGATTCAGTTTAACATTTTTAGAACTGTGGTTCCCATAACAACCAAGCAGGAACTGTTGTCTATGAAATGTAGCATTGTCACACATATGCACATGCACACATGCACACCTACATATATATTCCCAGGAACATATGTACAAATACATATGCATGTGCCCACGTATACAAATACATGCACACTCAGGCATGCATACATGCACACACACATGCTTCCTTGTACACATGCTTATTCACAAGTATATACCTGCATATGTATGTGTATGCATGCATGCACATACACACATACACATATACAGCCTGCCCCAAATTGCTTCTGTACATTCACAGGAAGCATTGAGGACAAATATCACAACAACAAAGGTGAAACCAGGGCTGGGGATTCAGCTCAGCTCAGTGGTGCCACCGCCTGACCCTGCAAGCTCAAGGACCTGACCAAAAAAACAAAGGTGAAGCCAAGACTTTTGGCTATCTGCAAAAGCAGGTGGATTTAGGGAATCTGCATTTTTTTGTTGTTATTGTTGGTACCGGGCATCAAACTCGGATCCTTGTGCTTGTGAGGCAGGCGGCAGAACCACTGAGCTAAATGCCTGGCCAGGAATCTGCATTTTGACAGGAGACAGTTCATTACAGTATAGCAAAGGTATGACAGGAAGATGCTGTGGTTGAGCACAGACTTGTGTTCAAATCCTCAGCATGCCATTTGTTGAGCTCTGGGATTTAGCTTCTCCATCTGCAAAGTGGGGATAATAATGTCTAATTTGACAGGTTTATTAGGAAGATTAAATGATATGCATAAAATGATTAACCATGATGCTTGGTTAATAGAAGTTATCACTTAAGTTTCAGGAGAAGTGATTTCTCATTTGCTTAATTTAAGAAGACTTCTTGGAGAAGGAACAAAATTCCGGAGCTACAGGAAGGAAGAGAAGATGGGAAGCTTGACCTGATAGGCCACTGCACAGCATCCAGGTGCTGTCTGACAAGTCTGCAGGTTATCCTTCTTGATATGGAATGACCTAATGCCTCCGTCCTTCACAGGAGCAGGATGGGGTCAGGAGAAGTGTTCAACAGCCTCCAGTTTACTGGAGAATCCTGGCACTAAGTTGCATTTCTGCTCTTCGGCAGTTCGACTGCCCCTCAAGGCCTTGTGTGTGGCTCTGCCTATGCATTACCCTTCTGTAGAAATACCATCCCTTCTTTTCCTCATCCAAGGCTCAGCTCTGCTCTGGTCTTTGTAGCTCCCAACCCTTGTATCTTTTCAGGCCCCATTCCAGCCCTGATGACTTCCTCCAAGCCTAGGACAGCCAGATTGTTTCTGCCTCACCAGCTGAATAGCCTTAAGCTAAGGGTGGCGGCACCGTACGTGCTCCAGTCCTATGAAGTTTGGTTTCTATCCTAGTCAAGTGGTGGGTTTAGCTGGGAGGGTAGTAGGGCCATGTTCCCTGCATTGCTCCTCCTTCTGTGTCCAGAAGGGTATTTGTGACACGAGGACACATGTTTTAGGCAACACCTGAAGTGTAGGATTGAGTCCGAATATATGGCGGGACCTAACCCAGCCGTGAACGCCGCCAAGAGGGGATTGTCCCAAGAGGACTCTGGGAAGACTTCGTCTGACCGGAGGTCGTCTAGCCTACGACCCAGGCACGCTGCTCAAGAGGCCGCTTGAGGATCAGGGCGCATTTCCCATCCCCTTTTCGGTCAAATCCTGAGGTGGGCGGTTCTGTAGACTTCAGATCAGGCGAGGGCAGGCCCAAGCGGAGTGGTAAGGTTAAGGGCGAAGAGACCCTGATTGAAGGTGGGCAGCAGACGCCACAGCTGGAGATGCGAGGGGCAGAGAAGTGAGTGCACTGGGTAGTTCCCGGAGGCAGGAAAATTGGTGCCCGGGAGTGGCGCGGCACGAGCGGTCTCTGCACCCTCAGGGCGGCGCCGCGGACCCCTCCCCCACAGAAGCCACCTTCCGCGGAAAACGTGGGGTCCCGGCGCAGCCGCTTCTGGCCGCCTCTGCCGCTCCCCCAGCTCGCCAGAGAGCCCGCCCAGGAGGAGGGGCCGACTCCGCCCCACCTCCGCGCTGCCGCCCTCCCCCTTCCCTGACTGTCCTCCAGCCGCGCGCCCCCTTCCTCCTCCCCTCCTCCTCCATCCTTCCCCCACCCGGTTAGCGCGCCCCTCCCGCTGCGACTGGCTGGAAGGCTCGGCCGCCCCAACCCGAAGAGGAGGCGGGGGCGCTAGCCGCGGCCACCCGAGGCTGCGGAGGGGAACGCGGTTTGAGGCCCCGAGGCGGCCCTGCGTCTCGACCCGGCACTCGGGGGCTGCCTCTGCCTCTGCACCCCCACCCAGGCCCCCAACCCAGGCCCCGGTGCCTGGCCCCACTGCGGGGTGGAGGAGGTAAGGGCGAGTCGCGGAGGGCTGCGGACCGCTCCCAGAGAGGCGAGGCGGGGAGGACCCCGGCCGCTGCTTCCTTTTCCCCCTCCTTCTCCCCTCTGCTCTCCGGAGGCCGGGGAGGCCTCCCAGCCCAGAGGGATTCTGGGCAGGCCCGGCCAGAGGCTGGAAGGGGTTAATTTAAGGAATTGAAATCAGAACGGTTTGAGACCAGGCTTCCCCTCCCCCCTCTAGCCTGTAGCTCCCAGAGCCTGTTTGGGGGTGGGTGGGGGCGGGCTCCAGAACCCCACTGGGCCACTGGACCTTGGAGAGCCGGCGACAGTGGGACGAAGGAGGGAGAGCCCCCCCAAATCCCAGCCCTGAGGGAGCGGGTGGGAAGGGCTTGGTGCTGAGGCCTGGCTGGACACCTGTGCGGGTGTCCGTACGTGCCGGTGTGCACGTGTGATACTCGAGGTGTGCATGTGTGTGCACGCATGTTTTTGGCTCCTCACACCCTGGTGCCTGTGAGGGTGACTGTGCCCACAGTGTCTCTGGATGTGTGGGCCCCACTGCATTGCTTTGCGTGTGTGTGTATGTATCTGTGTGTGTGTCAGACAGACAGACAGACCATGCTTGTGCCGCCTGAAGCCTGCCTTTTAGTACTGCGTGGGGCCTGCTCTCTTTCCCTTAGGTTGAGTTTGCAGCAAGGGACCTAGATGGTTTTCTGATTGTGGGATCCGGGTGCTGGAGCCTGTGTGTGTGACCTTGGGAGGTGTGTGCATGTTTGCTGGAGCAGGAGAGGGAGAGCTTAGAAAGCAAAAGGCAGAGTCAGGACTACCAGAAAGCAGAGGACTGGCTGCTTTGGCCCTTGTAGGTCCTCACCAGGCTGGAATGACTGTTCAGCAGGTACAAGTGTTGGGGCCACAACCACAGGGCCAGGGCCCAGGGTTTCTAGGAGGTCAGAGGGATTTAGAGTCAGGGGCATTTTTTTATTCTCCAACCACATGGGCATAATGGGAGTATAGATACCTCCAGCTGCCTCCCCATCCTTAGAATACCTCCACCTGCTGGCAGCTCCCTCCTCAAAGCACCTAGAGCTTCATTTCTTTGGCTTCTAAATCCATGTAATAACATCCAAACCCTCCTCCCCTATTTTTGTAATTTCTGCCTTTTCTGTTCCTTTCCTGCATGTGGATTTTATATGGAAAGAGGGAGAAAGCAGTTGGGCCCTGGAGGCTAAGTGGGAGGGAGAGAATGACCTGCGGTCATGGTGGGAAGCTGGGGCCAGATTTGAGCATGAGGTGGGAACCATCCAAAAACGAACTACAAACTTCAAAATTTTACCTATCTAAATTTGAGAGGGAAAGAAAGAGAGAGGGAGACACTGAGGGAGAGAGAGGAAGGAAGGGGGGAAATAATTCACAGTTGTTTTTAGATCTAAGAATGCCTAGCTTGATTTTGTTTAGGAATATTTATAATGAGAAGGAGGTGACCATTGTTGAAAGGTGACTGCTATCCTGCTTTTTCATTCCCTAGACCTTTCTGCCTCTCTGATTAAGATTTATTCATTCAACAGATTCATTGAGTACTACTGTGGGCTCATCTGTGAATAATTCAGGGTTGGTATGATATTCTACTCCTAGCCAGAAGGAACATAGTGCTGAGACTAAGAGCATAGTCAGGTAGTGCTGGATTCAAATTCTAGTCATGGTTTCAGGCATTCACTGATATGTAATAAACCAATACAGAATTTAGAGACTTTGAACAACAATGACTTATTACTGTATTTCTCATGGTCTATAGATTGGCCATGACTGTTGCTATGGACTCTGCTGGTCCCACTTGGAATTTCTCACACAGCTGCATTCAGCTAGGAGACTGGCAGAAGTTGAACATCAAAGTGGCTTTTCATCCTCTAGGTTTCTTTACACATAGCCTCTGTTCATTTAGTAGTTTAGCCTGAGTTTCTCTTGGCAGCAGGATCCCAAAAGGGACTATCCTAAGAGGACAAATTCTACTGCTTACCAAGCTTGTGCCTGCATCAGGCTTGCTAGTGTCCCTCTGGCCAAAGAAAGGCACATGGCCAAGCCCTGACTCAGTGTGACAGGGGGCCACATAAGGCAAGAATACTGAGAGGCATGGCTTCCTGGAGGACCCCAAAGCAACAATCTGCTATAGTCCTCACTGGTTTTGAACAAGTGCTTAGGGCACTCTGAGCCCAAGTTTCCTCATCCTAGCATGGAAAAAATCCCACCTACTTGGCACTACTGTTGTGAGGACAAAATGAGTAGCATGGTATCTGACCATGATAATTATGAGATAAATGTCCACTGCTTTGATTATTAGGCTGCAAGTACCCTCGGGGCACAACTGTCATTTGTTTTTATATATCCATTGTCTAGTATGGGCCTGTGCTTGACATTTTTTGCTGGGTAGATAAGACAGAATGAAGCAGACAAGCTCTAGACCATGGAGCTCAGCTAGAATGAGTCATAGTGTTGAGGAGACAAACATTCTGACCTCCCAGTAAGTCACTAGCAAAGATAGGAAAGCACCTGTTATCCAGGATGATTCTGGGACTCACTTAATTGTAACCACTTCATCCACTTCCATGATGATGAGTAGCAGAATGTGCTTAGTTACATGAAATCAATCAGTTTGTCTGTTATTCAGTGTGATTCCTCTAAGAAACATACTGATGTCTATCTACTGTGTGTGAGAACAAATCAGTTGCATTGTCCGTGCCTCCAGTGTATATGTAGGAAGGAACCTAATATTCCTGCCCTATGTGTTATCCTTGAAGAGCTATGGTAAGGAGTGACTCATGCTGTGATGTGATTGGAACTGGATGAGGGGATCAGGGAAGGATTTATGGAAAAGGTGGCATTTGAGCTGGACCTGCAGAATTCACCAATTGGAGTAGGGAGTCCCAGGAAAAGGGACCACCATGAGCCTAGACTTGGAGATTGGATGGCACCTAAGGTAGAGCAAAAAAGCCGCACAGGGCTCATTGAGGGAGGAAAGGAGAGCTACCAAAGCTTGGCAGGTGGATTTTACTTCTCTAAACATGGCTACCCTTCAGAGATTGTTTTAGAGTAAAAGCAACATGATTGGATTGATACTGGCAAAAAAACTTTGGAAGCCCTGAGAATTCGACACTGGAAGACTGGAGATCCCAGGTGGAGACAGATAGATAGAATGAAGTCTATAAGTGGTCTAGATGGAAGAAGATATGGGTCTGAACTTGGATACTGGCTACAGGAAAAGGAAGAAGTAGAGTCATATATTTAGAAGATAGTGTGGTCAATAACGATTGATGAGATTTGACTTTGAGACACAAGATGGGGTCGCTCTCCAGGGTGCTGAGTAGATGAGCTGTTGGTTGCAATGGAAAAACATATGAAGCAAGTTTAAGGATGTGTACTGTAGTATTGTGAGTTCGTTATTAGCTATATTGAGCTTTGAGCTGCCAACATTTAAAAAGCGCTCTTTTTAATTCTCTGCCTCTTTACTGGCTGCTTCTAAAAGCACTTTAAAAAAAAAAGAATTACTATCAGTTTCAGGTCTAAGGCATTGAGTCATTTGTGCCTTAGACCAGTGCAAGTGATAGTATAGAATAGAATTAGGTTGTATCTAAGAAGGATTTAAATATGTTCAGGTCTCCCTCTCTCTCTCTCTCTTTTTCTTTTTCTTTACTTTTTGTACTGGGAATCAAACCCAAGGAGTGCCAGCTCTTTTTATTTTCATTTTTCAGACAGGATCTCACTAAGTTGCTGATGCTGGCCTTGAACTTGGCAATCCTCTTGCCTCAGCCTTCTGAGTAGCTGGCATTACAAATGTGGGCTATCATGCCCAACACATCTCTTACCTTAAAAATGCTTCTAGATTCTCCTGTGCTGCCTCCTCCCCTTCACAGTGGAGCTTTTGTGTCCACTCATTGCCTTACCTCACTTCTCAACCCACATCAGCCAGGTTCCTTAAAGAAGCCTTCTTGACAGTCACCAGTGGGCCTGTCCCACTTCTTCTCTTACAGGAGTTGTCAGCATTATTCCACTGTTGCCCACCCCTTCCCTCCCTCACATCTTCTCTCCCTAAGGTTCCTGTCAGAATTTCCAGGTCTGCTATCAGTGGTGAGGAATTTCTTCATTCTCTCATGCTCTCTCTCTCTCTCTCTTGCTCTCTCCCACCCTCCCTCCCTCCCTTCCTCCCTGAGGATCCATCTTCTCTCCCTGCTGTCTTCTCTCTGCACTTCTCCCTGGCCCTGCTCATCCACTGTCATTTTTATGATTAAGTTGCCAAAACTGTATTTTAGGCTCTGTGTTGCCCAGCCTGTACCAAATAGCTTTACTTCCAAGGCCCATTGGAACCTCAGACTCATGGAATCCATAACCAAACTTGTGATATCTCCCCCAAAACCTGACCTGTCCTCTTCCATTTCCCTTCTTACTGAGCCACATCTCCATCTACCCAGTGGTTCAAAACTCAAATCTGGGGGAAAAAACCTGAGGCCTGAGATTCATCCTTGATTCTCCCTTTTCCTCTTGCCATAGTCATTCTGTCATCAGGCCTTCAAAACTTTCCTTCCTTAGTTCCCTCCACATCCATCTTTCTCTCCATTCACACTCTTGCTACCTTGTTTAATTTCCACTTCTAGGGCTGGCAGTGTAACTTACTATAACTTACTGTAGCACATATTTAGCATCATGCACAAGGTCCTGGGTTCAATCCCCAACATCAAAAATTTTATAACAATAAAAGTAAAGTATTTCTTTTCTTTTCTTTTCTTTTTTTTTTTTTTTTTTTGGTACCGGAGATCAAACTCGGGTCCTTGCACTTTCACAGCAGGCGGTGAAACAACCTTGCTAAATCCCTGGCCCAAGTAAAGTATTTCTACTTCTAATGTTCCAACAACTCTTCCTGACCTTGGCATTCTCTATTTCATCCTCTAAAGTCGAAGTCTGGTCAAATTCTTGCCATCCATTTGTTTTTCACAGTTATTGAGCAGCTCTCCCATTCCAGGCACTTTATACATGGTTAGGAAAATAGCAGAGATTGAGACATATGTCTCTACCCTCATGGACCATACATCTTAGTTCTCTAAGGAAGGGAGGCATACTCTCTCATTTTCTTTGTCTTTGTACATCCTACTCTTTTCATTGTCTTTGTACATCCTACTTCATTGGCTTGGAATGCTTTTGTTCTCTTCCTGGTCCTTGTAGTTGCCACTCTTCACCTGGCAGTTCTACTTTGTTCTTCAAAAGTCAACTTAGATTCTACCACCTCTGGGGGTTCTCAGTCATTCAGTTCCTTGAGCTAAGTTAAGTGTAGAATCCTGTGCCAGCTACTTGCATAATGTTTGTCTCATGACCACATTGTCTAATACATCAGTCTGCCCCAGGAAATCATAGGTTACTTGAAGGCAAAGACTAGATCTTATTTGACTGTGTGTCTTCATCATACCTAGTGAGGAGGAAGAAGGTTGGGTGTTTCTATGGCCCTGAAAGATACCACCCACAGGAAAGACCTGTTTAGCACTTAGTCAAGAAGGACAGGCACATCGCCCTGACACCAGGCTGACTATATATTACAGGATAACCTTGTTCTTGAACAGCTGTGTGTGTGTGTACACTGAACTAATATCTGTGGTCACTCTGCCAACTTCATCAGTTTTGTCTATAGTTACTAGTCTGTTCAGGTTTTCTATTCTTGAGTCAATTTTGATAATTTATATTTTCCTAGGAAAGCATTTAGTTCATTTGGATTTTTAAGCATTTAGGCCAAGAATTGTACCTGATAGCGCTGTCATAATTAAAATTGTCCCCCCCACCCACTTTTCCAAAGGAATGTTTTATTTTGTTGGTATTTTCAGAGCACCATCTTCTGGCTTAACTTCCCAAGGCTGCTTTTGGATTTTAATATACCCAAAGTATAATGAGATTGGAGCAATTACCAACTATTTATTTTTATTTTAAAAAAAAAAAGGTTGGGCCGGGGATTTAGCTCAGTGGTTTCGCCACCTGCTGCGCAAGCGCAAGGACCCCAGTTCGATCCTTGGTACCAAAAATAAATAAATAAATAAGTAAAGTTAAGGGGCCGGGGATTTAGCTCAGTGGTTCTGCTGCCTGCCCCACAAGCTTAAGGACCGGAATTCGATCCCTGGTCCCAAAAAACAAAACAAAACCAAAAAAGAAAGTTAAGGGCCAGGGATTTAGCTCAGGGGTGCTGCACCTGCCTCGCAAGTGCAAGGTCCTGAGTTCTATCCTGGGTACCGAAAAAAAAATATTTTTAATAAAATAAAATAAAAAAGAAAGTTAAGTCTAAGGTATTTGTGCAATATACTTAGGATTTTCGAAAAATTAGCCAAGTGTCACCAATGGGGCAAGTACAAAGAAGAAGAGCAATGTGCCGATGAAACAAAATTATCCACGAAGCTGAGTGTGGTGGCCCACACCTGGATGCCAGCTTCTTCAGAGGCTGAGGCGGGGGGTTACAAACTTGAGGGCAGCCTGGGCAACTTAATGAGACTCTGTCTCAAAATTTTAAAATAAATATATAAAAAGGGCTGGGAATGTAGCTCACTGGTAGAGTACTTGCCTATCATGCATTAAACCTAGAGTTCGATCCCCAGTGCCACACGGTGTGGGTGGAATTGGCCGTGAGTTATTAATTGTTGAATCTAAAAGATGGGTTCATAGGGATCATCACAACATTCCATTTTTTAGTATATTTGAAAATGTCCATAATGAAAACTTATTTGTTTTGAATCCCTATCTCACCATGCACACCAGAAATTTCTACATGGCTTAAAAATCCAAATGTAAAAAAGAAACTCATATATCCTGAAGTGTTTGTGTGCTACCAAGTCCTTTTCAGTTTATGATTATTTGTTTGAAGTACTAGTTTTTTTTCAAATCTGGAATTTTAAAAAATGAAGTCACAGATAGCAAAAACAAATGTATCTATATGTAATCTTAGGATAGTGACAGACTTCCTAAGCATGACAAAATCAGAAATCATAAAGATTTTTACTAAATCATATCTTAAAACTTTAGCATATCAATAAAAACCATAAACAAAAGTAAAAGCCAATCAACGTACTTGAGAAAATATTGGCAGTATATAAATGAGTAAGGATCAATATTATAAAAAACCTTTGCAAATCAATAAGTTAATGTGAATGTTCAGTATAAAAATGAACAAAATAGTACATAGGCAAGTCACCAAAGAGATATAATGACTGACAAGTGTAAAGAAAAATGTCCAACCATGATAATTAAAGAAATCCAAGTAGGGCCGGGGATTTAGCTCAGTGGTTCCACCGCCTGCCTCAAAAGTGCAGGATTCCAAGTTTGATCCTCACGACCAAAAAAAAAAAAAATTTTGTGGAGGAGGTAGACTGGGGATATAGCTCAGTGTAAAGGCCCTAGGTTATCCAATCCCTAGTACTGCAAAAAAATAACAATAATAAAGTGTGTTAAAAGCATTCCAAAGAAAAGCCAATAGCTCTTTATGGTTAGCAGAGAGAGAGAAGAATCAAGATAGCCACTGGTATGGCTGGGAGAACAGTGGCACTGCTGAAGGAAACAGGGATGCTGAAAGGAGTGGATGAGGGAAAGTCTAGGATTTGTTTTTATTTTTATTTTTATTTATTTTTTATTTTTTGGTACCGGAGATCGAACTCAGGTCCTTGCGTTGCGAGGCAGGCGCCGGAACCACTGAGCTAAATCCCTGGCCCTAGGATTTGTTTTTGACACTATGGGTCATTGTGGTCACCTTGAGTCTTCTTACAGAAGACCAGCAACTGACTCAAATGTTTTAAGCTACGAAAAAATATATTGCTCCATGTAACTGACAAGTCCTGGGTGGAAGTTTCAGGTGCATCTAAATATAGCTATTCAAGTGATATGAGCAGGAATTTTTTCTTCTCTCCCAAAAAGAGGTCAGAAATGGCCATAAGCAGCTCCACAGGCTCCTGTTCTGCCAGCTGAGCATAGGTCCTGGGGTGCCTATACTGGCCTATGTGTGCATTACTGACCTGATCGCTAATGGAACAGATTGAGGGTCACATGTGCTGTCCTAGAGCTAATCGCTGCAGTCCCCCATCCAAACCCATTCATAGTGGGGAAAATGGTTCTCTAAGGGAAAATTGGGGGTCAATCCACAAAGAGGGACTACAACTGAGCAGCAAAAACAATAAATGTTTTAATAAACACTACATTCCACTTCTTAGCTTTTTGAGATCTACACAGACCTTCCTAGGTAATTTTTAAAATATTTTCCTGTTTATCATAATGTAACCATTCCACACAAGACTTAAAGCATGGCTATACCATCTCTGGAAGGAACCATTCCACATCCTCAGCTCCAACTTAAGACCTTAGGAAGGCCTGTCTGTTTGGTTAAGTATTAAACTAGCCCCTTAGGGTCTTTCAGTTTGTGGCCAGACTACCATGATAGAGGGAAAATTAGACAGCTGAAAGAAAAAGTCTCCTTGGAAATAGCCCAAGTGCCCATCAACTGGAAACTGGATAAAGATGTGGTTTTTTAATAAAATGGAGTACTACTCAGACATAAAGAATGAGAAACTAGACATTTATAGCTAAATGGATGCACATTGAGGCGATACTCTTAAGTGAAATAAATAGGACACACATGTGTAAATACTGAATAGTTTCTCTAGTGTGAGAAACTGAAAGTGTAAATAAGGATTAAAATGATTAAAACGAATAGTTGATAATTTGAAATAGGAAGAAAAGGTCCAAAGGGTAGGGGAAGTGGGAGGGGAAGGAAAGAAAAAAATGAAAACAAGGTTTATGTAAATAGGGAAGGGCGCACAGGTAATGGGGAAAAAATAAGAAGCAAGATACATCATACGTACAGGTACAAGCACCCAATGATAAATGTAAATGTATTGTATACCTAAGATGTACCAATAAAAGAATTTAAGCAAAAAAAAAAAAGTCTCCTAGAGGCAAGGGGAGGACAAACATTCCCGCATTGTCCACACCCTTGACTGAAGGGCAAGAAAGGTTCCCTGGCTCTCCAGCCAGTTGCTCTGCTTCTGCTATCTCTGTCTTGGGGCTCTGTGGCCCCATATGAGAGGGCATTAAGGGGTTAAGGTGTAGGGGGAGATGAGGGCACAATCTCAGGGGTGAGTAATCTTGCTTTTGCTTTCCAGGTTTGTGGGATTTCTGGCAGTACCGTTCCATTAATCACTAGGAGGCTTCTCAGTCAATTTGCATTCGGTCATCCCTGGAGCTAATAGCCAAAGCTAAAGACCTTATTGAAAGTTACAATTCTTTTTTTGGTACCGGGGATGGAACTCAGGTCCTTGTGCTTGTGAGGCAGGCGGTGGAACCACTGAGCTAAATCCCTGGCCCTGAAAGTTAGAATTGTTGAATGGAGTCCCTGGTGGTGGTGGTGGTGAGGGAGGAGAGGGTTGTCTGTTAGCAGCAGGCTCACGTGCTCCACCCATCAGGAACCCAGGGTTCTGGGGCCTCTCAGTAGGCCTCTGCCTCAAGGCAGTACAAATCCCTAGACAGCTGGCCGTCCTGGAGGCAGAACACTTTTCCCCTTCCTTCTCCAGATAGGTCTCAACAAAAGGCTGCTTATAATGGAAACTTTTGTGATGCCAGGGCACAGCAGGGTCTGAGGAGTCAAGAGGGTTTCAGGCCGCAGGCTGCTCTCCCTTTGAGTTTCCAGCCTCCCTCTCTGCTTGAGCGGACTAGCTAGAAGTGCCGAACTGGCTCTTAATTATCTCACTCTAAGCCGTATTGGGTTACTGGCCTCAGGCAGAAAGGGCCTCTCCTAGCAAGCCATTTTCTTCCTCTGCTTTCAGATGAGCCCCTGTCAACCAGAGTGTGTGTCTTTCTTGCTGGACCTGACTGAGGCTACAGGAGAGATCACACTGCCAACATCCTGACATTTTCCTATAAATCTCCTAAAGTTCCAGTCTTGGTAGGTACATGGCCGCAGCTCCAGCGACTGTGAGAAATAGTTTAGTCAGCTGCTTTGCTGCTGTATGATGGGGTTCACCATCTTCTGAGTGGGCAGTGGGGGAAGCCATACTCTTATGCCAGTCTTTTTAGAACTTAATTGAAAAGAAAATTTTGTCTCTAATTCCAATTTCTTGAGTAGGACTTTTTTCCTGGTATAAGGACAGACCCAACTGTAACTACAGGTAGGTTAGGCAAAAAGGGGAATTGATTCATTCACATAATTGAACAGGCCGGGGTTTTATAATGTCTGTAAGAAATTCTCTCTCCATCTCAGTTTCACTTTTCTGAGTTGGCTTCTTTCCCAGGTGGCTCCTCCCAAAAAGAGATAAAAGATAGCCCTAGTACTCTGATCCTCCCCAACACCTTAGAAACCTGAGCCCAAGGAGGATGCTTCTCCTCTTAGTAGTTCCAGAACAGTCTTGGGGTTCATTGGTTCAATTTGGGCGCTTTATGCCCATCCCAAGTCTCTGATCATCTGGCAATGTCACAACCCCCAGGACACATGGACAGACTGAGAAAGTGGCCAAGGAAGGTGGTTCCCCAAGGTCAGAGCAGGGTGCAGATACTATGAAAAGGACTGGGTACTGGGTGGGAAAGGGAAGAGTTATCTACCCATACACCCATGTGGAAATGTCGAAAGAATTCAGGAGCAGATCAGGACGGAGAGATAGAGCTGACAGTCAGCAGCTTCCAAGTGTGAGTGAATCTGTGGGAGTGAACCAGACTGCTGGGGGGGGAGGGCACAAAGAGATGGTAATTTTCGGAAGGCAGAAAGAATAGGAAGTCACAGAACTCAGGAAAGTTCAAACTGGGTAGCACTGTGGCCATTTAAGAAGATGGAGGGACCAAGGAAATGAAGACCCTTGATGTAACTGGATTATCCAGTTAGTAGCTGGTGGTCTGGAATCCTGAGGAGCACAATGACAGCAGAGGGTGTTGGAGCTGAATGCAGGCTATTAGGAAAAGGACAGCAGTAAGAAAGAGGTTAGAGACCCCACAAGGAGGGCAAGGGTGACAGGAAGCCAGAGATGGGCAGAGAGGAGCAGCAGGAGTTGAGAACGAAAGGGGCAGGGTGCCATAACGCACTTGTGCCAGAAAGTGTGGGGAAGACAGTTAATACTGCTCTTGGAGTAAAAGTTTGGCAGGGACACTTACTGGAAGCCTACCTAAACATTTCCAGGTCTGCAAAGAGGACCTCAGTGGCTGGAGTAGCAGGGACGGTTGGGTGTAGTGCAGACAGGAATAGGACCTGTGACACACACAGTTTCATAAGTGCCACGGTACCAAAGTCTAGTTTGTGTGATGGGTGAGGTTTGCCAGAAATGAAAGTAAGCTGAAAGTAAGCATCTTCTTGTTTGTTTTGGTTTTGTTTTTTGAGACAAGGTCTCACTATGTAGTTCAGGCTGGCCTTGAACTCACTATGTACCCCAGACTGGCCTCAAACTCACGATGATCCTCCTGAGTGCTGGGACTACAGGCATGTGCCATCACACCCAACAAGCATCTTCTCTTTAAGGATTTTTTAGATGTAACATACATTAAGTACATACAAGGCACTAATCTTAGGTCCATCTTGGTGATTGTCTACATATGTAAGCACTACTCTGATCAAGATACAGAACATTTCAGCATCATAAAAGATCCCTTCTGCCCTACCCAATCCATATATCCCTGAAGGATAACCTCTACTCCGACTTCTGTCGTTATCAATTTTGTCTGTTCTGGGACTCCGTCTCTATGGAATCCTGCAGTATGCACTTTTGGGTCTGACTTCTTTCCTGAAACACAAAACTAAATGAAATCATCCATGTTGTTGTGCATATCAACAGTTCCTTTTCTTACTAGTGGATAGTAATCCCTTACGAATATATCACCATTTATCCATTCTATTAGTGATGAGCACTTGGGTTGTTTCTAGATTAGAACCATTACAAACAAAAGTCCGGGGCCAGGGATTTAGCTCGGTGGTTTCGCCGCCTGCTGCGCAGGCGCAAGGACCCGAATTCGATCCCCGGTACCAAAAAATAAATAAAAATCCGCAATTCCTTAAAAATTTTTTAAAAATAATTTTCACTATCTTATTCTGATACATGTACAGGCCCTCGCACCAGGTACCATCTAGAGCAGGCCACCACTTCTGGGCTGTCTGGTCATTGGACACCCCTGGCCCCACCAGTTTCCTGGGAAAGTCAGTTTCCCCTTGAGTGGCGGAAGACGAGCACCGCGCCTGGGAGGGGTGCGTGGGATACCAGCCTCCTAAGACTTACTTCCTCTCTTCTAGCCACCTCAGACCTAGCCACGGGCCCCCTGAGCCTTCCTGATCCCGCAGCGGGGCTCACCCACGGCCCCCCATGAGTGCGCCTGGCTGACCGGCAGGGGGCCGCGGTGGAGCCGGCACACCGCGGGGGCAGCGGGGCCATGGCCTCGCTGGACCTGCCGTACCGCTGCCCCCGCTGTGGGGAGCACAAGCGCTTCAGGAGCCTGTCGTCGCTGCGAGCGCACCTGGAATACAGCCACACGTATGAGACGCTGTACATTCTCTCCAAGACAAACAGCATATGTGACGGCGCCGCAGCAGCCGCTGCCGCTGCCGCTGCGGCCTCGGGATTCCCCCTGGCGCCCGAGCCCGCCGCCCTGCTGGCCGTGCCCGGCGCCCGGCGTGAGGTCTTCGAGAGCACATCCTTCCAGGGCAAGGAGCAGGCGGCTGGGCCAGCGCCCGCCGCACCACACCTGCTGCATCACCACCACCACCACGCGCCCCTCGCCCACTTCCCCGGCGACCTGGTGCAGGCCAGCCTGCCCTGCGAGGAGCTGGCTGAGCCAGGTCTCGTGCCCGCCGCCGCCGCGCGCTACGCGCTGCGCGAGATCGAGATCCCCCTGGGGGAGCTGTTCGCCCGCAAGTCTGTAGCGTCCTCGGCATGCTCTACGCCACCGCCCGGGCCTGGGCCTGGCCCTTGCTCCGGGCCCGCTTCCGCCTCGCCCGCATCCCCCTCGCCAGCCGATGTGGCGTACGAGGAGGGCCTGGCACGCCTCAAGATCCGTGCGCTGGAGAAGCTCGAGGTGGACCGGCGGCTGGAGCGGCTGAGCGAGGAGGTAGAGCAGAAAATCGCCGGCCAGGTGGGCCGGCTGCAGGCTGAACTGGAGCGCAAGGCTGCGGAGCTGGAGACCGCGCGGCAGGAGAGCGCACGGCTGGGGCGTGAGAAGGAGGAGCTGGAGGAGCGCGCGTCTGAGCTCTCACGCCAGGTGGACGTGAGCGTGGAGCTGCTGGCCTCGCTCAAGCAGGACCTGGTGCACAAGGAGCAGGAGCTGAGCCGCAAGCAGCAGTGAGTACTGTCGCAGTGTGTCCCTGTGTCACCTTGCCGCAGCCACCACCCCGAGTGTCTGCATGTGGCCATGGCTTTGTAGTATGGGATCTGTGGTGATGAGCATGGAATGGTGATGCCCGTGGGTCCAAGAGTGTCATAGTAGTGTGTGTTTGGAACCACGTGCTTGTCTGTGAAGACTGCCTTGGTTTTTGTTTTTGTTTTGTCACTGGGGATTATACACGGGGCCTTCACATGGAGCCAAACCTGAGCCTCCCCCACTTTTGAAACAAGGTTTTAGCAAGTTGCTAAATTGTCCTGGCTGAGCTCAGATTTTCAGTCCTCCTGCCTCAGCTTCCCAGAGTGCTGAGGATTACAGGCATGTGACACTGTGCCTGGTTTAAATACAATTTAAAGTATTCCTTTTGTGTGTGTGTGTGTGTGTGTGTGTGTGTGTGTGTGTGGTACTGGGGATTGAACCCAGGGCCTCCATCTGACACTGTTACACCCTTAGGCGTTTTTTATTCTTTATTTTGATCCTCCTGCCTCAGCCTCCCAGAGTGCTGGGATTACAAGTGTGTGCCACACCATGTCCAGCTGACTGCCTGTTTCTTGTCCTTCTCTGTCCCAGCCAAGGCCAACACCTGCATTTGGGCACCATATCATCTTCCCTTTTGCCTGCTCAAAGATGGCCCAATTTTCCCCTCTCCTGTTTCCTTTATCAGATTTTCCCTGACTATCTCATCATTTGCTACTTCCCCTTTCCCTCTCCTCCTTACAGAAAAAACTCCTTGAAAGTAGTTCTTATACTCTTAGTCTCCAATTTCTTTCTTGGGGTTTTCTCTAGAACCCACTCTGGTCAGGTTTCCACCCCCACCTCTGTCCTCAGGTCACTTCACGTTGGTGAGACCAAGTGTTCATCTTACTTAGCCCATCAGCAGTTGACTCAGCTGATCCTTAAACACTTCTTCACTTGGCTTCCAAGGTGCTGTCCCTGGATTTCCTTGTCTTTTTGTCTGCTCTTTCTCAATCTTTGTTGGCTTCTCCTCACTTCTTCAGTCTTATAGGATGTAGGATTATGAACTATGTAGGTGTTTAACTATTTCCATTTCGATATAAACTCTGTGAAGGCAGAGGTTTTTCTATTTTTGTTCACTGAAGTTTCCCCAATACCTAGAACAGTGCCTGACACCCAGAAGGTGCTCAGTAAGTGTTGAATAGATGTGTGAACAACCGTGGATGCCTTTAGGAGAATATACTCAGGGAACTGTAGATGTGCAGTATGTTGGTGCAGCTTCCGGTAGTTGGTACAAACTCTGCTTCTGCGTCTGAGTGTGTTTCTCTATGTGTTGATGTGACAATGTATTTTGGAGTGTTTCTGAAAGGATGTGTATCTTGAGTGTCTGTGTGCCTGTGCCTCCAAGTTTCTTTGCACGTCTCAGACTAAGTGTGTGCCTGAGAATGAGGATGAGATGAGGACGTGGATAAGAATGTATGGGGCTCCACTCAGGGCTATGTATTGGGCCACTTGTTTGGACAAGTGTACATGGCTGTGCGTTGAGGTCACAGGTAACTGAGTATGTCTCTGTGTTCCCATGTGAGCCAGCGTGTCCTGGTATGGAATGAAGGTGTAGGTTCTGTGTGTGCCTGGAGGTGGTTGTATATAGGACTGTGTATGCCTCCAAGTATTTCTGTGTAGAGCCAAAGTGTTCTGTCTAGTTGTGTGTTTAGGGCTAGGTGGAGTATGAGTGTGACTCACTGTGCTTGCATTTCTGTGTGTGTGGCATTTGCCTGTGTGCGAGGTCTGTTCTGCAAGGCTCTGTGTGACCATTAGCAGCTGGGCCGTGTCTTCCCACTAGCCACACTGTCCTCCAGAGGGTGGGGGGCAGCCAGGCTGAGGCCCTGGGGTAAGAGACTGCTCTGGGCCCAGGGAGGTGGTGCAGATTGACCAGTTCCTGAAGGAAACAGCGGCACGGGAGGCAAGTGCCAAGCTGCGACTGCAGCAGTTCATCGAGGAGCTCCTGGAACGTGCTGACCGAGCTGAGCGCCAGCTGCAGGTCATCAGCAGCAGCTGTGGCAGCACACCCAGCGCCAGCCTGGGGCGTGGAGGTGGGGGCAGTGGTGCGGGGCCCGGGGCCCGGGGCCCAGGCAGAATGGTGAGTGCCCCCAGCCTCTCACCTGGCCCCCACAGCCTGCGCTCACAGACAGCCTCACACCCCCTGGAATGCTTCCCCTTCTTTGGCTCTTCCCTTGAGAGCAGACCCAGGACCAAAGTAGGGGGTCTAGGAACAGGACGCCTCTCTGATTGGGCAGGAGTGCAGTCTCTGAAGCAATAGCAAGGTGTGGTCCAGCAGCCCAGCCCTCAGAGGTCCATCTCTGCCCATCTCTGCAATTTTGAGCCCAGGAGCCACAATCCCGGGTCTGGGTGTCGGGTGGGTGTGGGAAGGGTGCTGGTGAACCTGCCTGTTGGGGCTGTCTGTCTGTCCATTCGTCCATCTTTCCCAACTTTTTTCCTTCTTGTCTCTCCTTCCTCTCTTCTCTCCATCTTATGCTCTCTTCCTCCTGACATTGCCTGCTCATCATCTTGCCTCCTCTGCCTACCCTTCCTTTTCCACCTGCTCTGGGGTCCACAGCGAGAACACCACGCGGGCCCAGCCATGCCGAGCACATATGCGGTGTCCCGGCATGGCTCCTCTCCCAGCACAGGGTAAGCCTTGGGTTGGGTCTGCCCCACACAGCCCACCCTTAACCTGGAAAGAACCTCGGGCCTGTTGAGGGCTTGCCTCCTCCTGTGCCATCCTCCATGGGTCACCTGTCTGCCTTTCCATACTCAGAGGGAGCTGTTGGGAAGCAGGGTGGATGGGTTGCTCTTGGCTAGTGGTAGGGGCAGGGTGGGGAGCTCAGGCAGCCTGGTGCCCCTCATCCCTCACCATCGGGTCCACCCTGCCCCAGGGCTTCCAGCCGTGTGCCAGCTGCATCCCAGAGCTCAGGCTGCTATGACAGTGACAGTCTGGAGCTGCCCCGGCAAGAGGAGGGGGCCCCTGAGGACAGTGGCCCTGGGGCTTTGGGCTCACGGGCCCAGGCTACCAACGGTGGCTCAGAGCGGTCCCAGCCCCCTCGCAGCTCAGGCCTGCGGCGCCAGGCCATCCAGAATTGGCAGCGCAGACCCCGCCGACACAGTACTGAGGGAGAAGAGGGTGATGTCTCAGACGTGGGCTCCCGAACCACTGAGTCAGAGGCCGAGGGCCCCTCGGATGTCCCTCGTTCTGGGCCTGCTATGGCCGGGCCATTGAGCAGCTGTAGGCTCTCAGGTAAGTCCTGGCAGGGGGTAGAGAGGCCACCTTCCCCAGAGTACTGGGCCTCCTCAGGTGACACAGGGCGGAGGCAGTGAACTTCCAGGGCTCCTGCATCTCTTCTCCTTTTGCCCCAGACTCGCTCACCCCTCTTACAAAGTAGAGAGACTCGGGTGACAGGGATGCAGTGGCACAGGGTGCTCAGGTCTGCCTCTAAAGGGGTCATTGCACATGGTGGGCCTAGTAACATGTAGAGGAGAGTATCTGGGTGCCGACTATAGACTCCGAAGCCCCTGGCACAGTGGGGCAGAACCCCTCCCATCTGCACCCAGAGCATGCAAATCTGTGAGTAGATTAGGAGGTTCCAGGGTCAGGCTCAGGGGTGACCCTTAAAAAGGTTTACATGAGGAAGGAGCACCTTTTCTTAATTTGTAAAATTAGGGCCATGGTACCATAGAGGAGAGGAAAGCCTCTGCCCCTTGTCCTCCCGCTCAGTGCACTAGTCCCCAGGATGGTCTCTCATCCCCATTCTTCCTGCAGCTCCTATCCTGCCCCAGATCCTGGGTTACAGTCTCACACTGGCCTTTAACTTTCCACTGTCCCCTTTGATTCCCTGTATTCTGCAGCCCGCCCTGAGGGAGGCAGTGGGCGAGGTAGGCGATCGGAGAGGGGTAGCCCTTCACGCTCCAACGAGGTCATCAGCCCAGAGATCCTCAAGATGCGAGCTGCCCTGTTCTGCATCTTCACCTACCTGGACACACGCACACTGCTGCATGCCGCTGAGGTCTGCCGGGACTGGCGCTTCGTGGCCCGCCACCCTGCTGTTTGGACGAGGGTGCTGCTCGAGAATGCCCGAGTCTGTTCCAAGGTGCTTGCCCCTGCCCTGCTGGGAAGCCACCTTCCCCTCTGGCAGAATCTGGACCTTGCAACCATTATAGCACCCTACCTCCAGCCTGGCCCTCCTAAAAGTGCTTTCACGGGGCCTTCTACTTTGGCAACGGTCCATCTTCAGCCAACCAAGTTCAGGCCCATTTTCTCCAAGAACCCTCTATCTCTCCACAGTTCCTGGCAATGCTGGCTCAGTGGTGCACCCAGGCCCACTCACTGACACTGCAGAACCTTAAGCCCCGACAGCGGGGCAAGAAGGAGAGCAAGGAGGAATATGCCCGCAGTACCCGGTGAGGCCTGCATGGGGTGGGTGTTCCTGGGCCACAGACATGCAACCACATGGAGGATGCTTCCCAGGGCAGGAGGTGATCATAGGCAGTTCCTTGACCTCTTGGTTGTCCCCAGGGGCTGCCTTGAAGCAGGGCTGGAGTCCTTGCTAAAGGCAGCAGGGGGGAACCTGCTGATCCTGCGCATCTCCCACTGTCCCAACATCCTCACTGACCGTTCACTCTGGCTGGCCAGCTGCTACTGCCGTGCCTTGCAGGCCGTTACCTACAGGTGGGTCCCCCCACCAGAAGTAAGCCCATGTACTCTTGGCCTTGGGGCTCAAGGATCCCTAGATGCTGCATGACCTTCCCCCAGGTTCTCAGGCAGAAGGACCTAAGAGCTCTGTAGCCCAAGGGAAGGAACCCTTGGCAGGAGCAGAAGCCACCACAGTGGGCCCCTCCAGTTTTTTCTTTTCAACAGGAGTGCCACAGACCCTGTGGGCCATGAGGTCATTTGGGCCCTGGGCGCAGGCTGCAGAGAGATTGTCTCCCTCCAGGTGGCACCACTTCACCCCTGGTGAGCCCACATGGGTGGGTGGAGAGGGGACATGGTTGGACCTGGTCTGGGACTAAGGACTGAGCAGATCTGAACCCATTCCGTAGATTGCTGAGACAGACAGACTTGCTCACATTTATAATCTGTGCATTGAGGCTTTGAGAGCAGGGCTTTGAAATCAGACCTGGAGTTCTGCCCTAGCTTGCAGGCAGTACCATTCTGGACAACCCAACCATGTTTCAGTTTCTCAGCTTGCAAAGTGAAGGTGATATTAAATCCCTACCAACCTTATTAGGGATGTTGCCGACTCCAATGAGATCATATCTCCAGAGCCTGCAGGGCTCACAGTAAGTGTTCAGTAAACACTAGCTAAAAACCACCCAGGTTTGTTTGACATGTGACAAATGGTTTAGGGACACTGTTTAATATACAAGAGCTGGTTTTTGGAGAATCCAGGATGTGAAGTTATCCCTTACTTTACTCTGAGCTCCTCAAACTACCATGCTTTTCTGCTCCATGTCTTGCCCTTCAAGCCCTGTCTCCACATGTCAGCTTCTCCCAGACCACCCAGTGTTCCTTCACTAACACTTTGGTGGAATCTGTCATAGCACTCCTGCCTTAACTCTCACTACACCTAGTCCTGTTATCATCTATTTTGCAATCTTTTTTTTTTTTTTGAGACAGGGTGTTGTTATGTAGTCCAGGTTGGCCTCAAACTCATGGCGATCCTCCTGCCTCAGCCTGCTGAGCGCTGGGATCATAGGCGTGTGCCACCATGCCCAGCTATTGCAGTCACTTCTGTTTCAGTCTCTTACAGTGTAATCACAGTTCTCAGCAGATCTGCTGGGATTAGATCTGCTTAGTCTTCACCAGAATCTAAATGTCCATTTCTGTGTCCCTGGTATCAAATGCATGGCAGATGCCAAAGAGTTGTCTGCCACCTGCATGAATGTTGAGGGATGGTATTCAGGAAAAGGGCAAGTCTGATGTGGAGTGGGGCAGGCAGAGCCAACCAAGTACAGAGAGGAAGGTGGGGCAAGACCAGGAAGGGCCCTTGCTAAGGGGTCTAGGTTTTTGCATTTTATCTAGAAAGTAGTGGGAAGCTGTTGGGGGATTTTAGCTTTTTAAAAGGGGATTAAGATCTGATTGCTGGGCCGGGGATTTAGTTCAGTGGTTATGGCACCTGCCTTGCAAGCGCAAGGTCCGAAGTTCGATCCCCAGAACAACAACAACAAAAAGATCCCATTGCTAATGTTCTGTGCAATAGACTGTGCATGCTTTGAGGATAGGGACCCTGTCTATGTTGTTACTACTGCACCCTCAAGGCCTGGCTCAGTTGTTCTGTCATAGCAGACACGATAACCATATGCTGATTGATGCTCTTGGGTGGCTATAGGAATGAATGGGCAATGTCAGCAGTGTGGAACATTAACTGGCAGGGAGACTGATAGTAATCTAGATGAATGCCAGTGAGGGTCTGAACTGTGGTTCTGTAGTTACTCAGGAATCAGAAGCTGCAGGATATAGTAGGTGAGGGGGGAAGAGTCAGGGATAATTCCAGTTTCCTGTCTTACCCAGCTGGGTTGTTAGTGGGACACTTGCCAGAGGCAAGGAAGGGTCCCCAGGGAGCACATATGGGATGCCAGGTATCCAGAGGCCTCTCTGATGGCCCCTTCTCCATTCTCCAGCCAGCAGCCTACACGGTTCAGTAACCGCTGCCTGCAGATGATTGGTCGCTGTTGGCCCCACCTCCGGGCCCTGGGGGTTGGGGGCGCCGGCTGTGGGGTGCAGGGCCTGGCATCACTTGGTGAGTTTTTCCTTGGGACTGGGATGGGGAGTGATGAGAGCCAGGCAAGAGTGCAACTCTGCCCTGTAAAATTCCACATGGGCTTGAGCCAGGGTGGTGGCAGGGGACCCAGGGTGCTAGGCAGGAGGTGACCTGGAGTTTGTCAGCAAGGCCTCTGTTCTTCCTCTTTCTAGCAAGAAACTGCATGCGGCTGCAGGTCTTGGAGCTGGACCACGTGTCAGAGATCACCCAGGAGGTGGCAGCTGAGGTCTGCCGAGAAGGCCTGAAGGGACTAGAGATGCTGGTGCTCACAGCTACCCCTGTCACCCCTAAGGCCCTGCTGCATTTCAACAGTGAGTAATCTGGGAATGCAGGGCAGGGTAAGGCTGTCACCCATCACCATGCCCTGCAGCAAGTAGCAAAACCAGTTCCCTATCCCTCCTAATCAGCAAGCACCAGCGCTGGGGGTACATGGACCAGGGTTCTGTTTTGGCTTTGCCACCAGTGCTTCTGAGGCCAGTGTGGTGTTTCAGATCCTCTGGTATCTGGTGTAGGTAGTTCCACAGATACCTGTTGTGCTGTGCACTACCACTGGCCTCGTGTGAGTCTCTAGCCAAGACAGACAGGTTAGGAACAGGTTTTGGAGCAGGACTGCCCTAGGTTCCACATCTGGCTCTATTCCTCATTAGCTGTGTGACCTCAGGGAAATTACCTCTCAAGAGTCCTATATTCCCATCTTCTAAGGTAGTACCTTTTAGAGACCGAGTGTCCAAATTGCAACCCAAAACCTTCAATTAAACCTGAATACCGAGGTTGTAGTTTAGAAAAAACTCATGTAACTCATGATGTTATCAGAGAGGGCGCTGCATGCTAGTTGTGGTACACGTATCATAGGTTTGCCATCATGCTTCTAGAAGATGGAGGTGGTGGGAGAGTAAAGGTGATAATGTGTATGAGGCCCCCCAGGACAGTTCTTGGGGTAAGGACTTCTTTCTCCCTGGACTCCAAATCATGCTTCCTCTGCCCACCTCCCTCATACCACTATTTTCAGTCATTCCTCTGCCTTCAAAGTGAGGACATAGGTGCTCAGCTTAGGCCACTCCTGCCCAGTTGAGACCATCATCCATGACCATGCAGCCCCTGGGAGGCCCTGTGCCCAGATTTTATCAGCTTCAGGACCCTCTTCTCCACTCTGCTTCAGCACGCCCTGAGGTGAAGGCACTAATCGGCCCCTGAAACTGTGCTTTCCTGGCCCCTCAGTCTCTACCTGCCTGCTCTACTCACCTCACCCTGACTTTATAGCCACGTCCAGCCCCTTACGTCCTTTGGTCCCATGGCAGTTTGCTCATCATCTTCCCTGTGTGCCAGCCCTACCTCAGCCACTTTATTCCTTGTAAGTTATTTCCAAGTGCCCAGGCCACAGCTGTCTCTTCTGCTGGACAAGTTGCTAGAGCCTCTGAGCAGTTGACTCTCACCTGCTCATCCTACAAAAGTGCCATCATCCACCTTCTCCCTCGTCCAGTTGTGCCTTGGCCAGCACAGGCTTGCCATTTATGTTCCCAGTGTCGAGTATACAATTGTTCCTCAGTGAGGGTCTGATTTCATTCATTAGTGAGAGGAGAGGAGGCAGCCCCATTACCCAGGCCAACCATTGGCCTCCCTTACCCACCTTTTCCCAGGCATTTGCCGGAACCTCAAGTCCATTGTGGTACAGATTGGAATTGCTGATTACTTCAAGGAGCCCAGCAGCCCTGAGGCCCAGAAGCTGTTTGAGGATATGGTGACAAAACTCCAGGTGAGAGATTAGCTTTAAGACCATCCAAGACCCCGAGTGAAATCCATAGGCTAGGGCTGGTGGCCTGTAAATGCATGGCAGGAAGACTTTACCTGCCCAGTTCCGAGAGACAACTAACCCAGGGTCTGGTCTGCAGGCCCTGCGTCGGAGGCCCGGCTTCTCTAAGATCCTGCACATCAAGGTGGAAGGCAGCTGCTAACCCGGGTTGGGGGCGGCAGGGCCCCTTTCAGCCCCATACCATGGCGCTCTTTGGACTCCAGAGGGACCCTGGTTTGAACTGGACCTTCAGTGGCCTAGTATTGCTCCAGCTTCCAGCTAAGGGTTGAGTATCCTGTCCTTCTGGAACAGTGGAGCTACAGGCGTGACCGAGGGCACTGCCTCCCAGGGGCAGGAGCTTGGACAGAAGCTGCCCTCCAACCCCCACCCCATCCCCAGCTGGAGCAGGCTTCTGCCACAGCCATAGAGGAGCTGTCACCACCAGCACCTGGTGTCATCGCATGGAGGATCTGCAATAACAACCCAGAGGCTCCTCAGCTGCTTGGGCAGGCCTTTTCCTCCTGAGACCCTGTCCTATGGTCAGAGGCTTCTGCCAGGCCCCAGGCCAGAGGGGCTCCATGAGGCAGCTTAAGACTTGGCAAGGAGGGCTCTCTTCCACCTACCTGTCCCAGCTTGCTGTAGGACCTCCCTTCAGACAGCTCGCTTACGCTGTAGGTCCACATTCTCCAGGGTTACCAAGAAGGCCTAGGGCACTGTGGTCAGCTGAAGGCCTGGGGTGGATCTACAGCGGAGTGGGCTTGGAAGGGGGGAAAAAAGTTACCCAGAACTTCTCCCTAGGATGAGATCACACCTATCAAAGGGTGAGGGGAACTGCCAGGGGGAGAAAACTTACTATAGACAAGACTCTTCCTTCCAACCACCACATACCCCACAACACAACTGGGGCTAAATTCAAAGCTAAGAGGTGCATGTTTCTATACTTACCATTCATTCCCAAGGGATCTAAGGGAGGGTCAGGTGCCAGCCCTGGGAGGCCTTGTCTGCAACAAGAAGGAATTTCCTTCTAATACAGGTGCTTGGGCAGGAATCCATGGCCTTTGGGTTCCAAGGCTGCCTAGGAGGGTTACTGGGCTGCCCACTCAGCTGGGGCCTGGAGGGTGACATGCTTGGCTTCCTTGTCAAGTTAGCTTGCTGAGGATATGGTTGTGGTCAAGGAAAAGCATCCTCAATGGACTTCCCCTTTTGTCATCTCCACCAGCCAAGGGTTGAGTCTGCAGTGGAGTCTTTACCTCGGGGCTGAGAAGCCACAGAATGCCAATGGGGCTTTTCACTGGCCCCTTTGCACAGTGCCCAAAAGACAAGGTTCTGGCTCCAAGACTCCAAAGACTGAGGCTCCTCCAGTTCGTCTCAGAACTCCCACAGTGGCTTAGAGGCTGAGGGTCTTGCCAACCTTCAATTTGACAGTTACTTCAAACATCTAAGCTAAATCCATCTTAGGGCTGTTTCCCTTACTCCTGTGCAAGATCAGGTCCCAGCCTTAGCCACAGGCTGCTAGTCCTGGCAGGAGTTGGGATCCTCTCCTTTCCTAGTCTTCTCCAGGGACCCATCTCTGCCACAACTTGGCTTGGACATCAAAACCCAGCCCTGAGTTACCTTGTAACAAGTCCTCCAGTGCTACCGGCTCTGGGGCTCAGCAATGCACCTAGCTCCCCTAGTGCTTTTTTCTTCCTGTGGCTTCTTCTGTCCCTGACCTTTGAAGACCTGAAATGCCAAGGGTGTCATGTTGGCAACTTCCTGTCCAGTCTTACATGAAGCCTTTGCTGTGTGGCCCCTGCCCCTACCCCCTAAGGCTGCCTCCATCAGTTCCCACCTCCCCACTACCCAGTGGTCACAGGAAAGAACAGCACAACTTTCCTCTCCTCCAGGGCCCTGAAAGGAAGGTGGAGATCCACTCAGGACCTGGGTGTGTCTGTCCTGTCTCACCAACTGCACTCCTATGGCCCCTGCTCCCTCCGATCCCAGGACTAGAGGTGTTGCCCTCCCTGTTTCCTGGACAAAGCACAAAGGAATGCCCTGTTTGGTCTAAGCCTACCCAACTATCGGATTCTGGTTGCCTGAATACAAGACTCTGGGCAGTTTCTCCCAGGGTGATAACTCACTGGAATGCCTGATACCAGCGCTGGGGAAGGAGGGCACCAGTCACAGGCACTAAACAGGAGTGGGGAGATGTGGTGCTAAAAGGACTGATGTTAGCCTCTTTACTCATTCATTCCCAGAGCACCAGGGATGAAAGGGAGACAGACTCCTCTCCTGCCAGGTGCAAGTATGCCTCCCACAGGACTCCCTCCTTCCACAAAACCCACCAAGTTCTCCCTTTATCTTCTGGGGCTGAATGAAAGCTATGTGGGAGTACATGTTGCCTGCACAAATGCCAGGTCCCAGCTTCTCCTGTACACCCATCACTGGACTGGCAGTCTTGTGCACACTGGCCTTCATGCACATGAGAACAGGCAACTTCGCAGCGCCCACCCTGATGCTATTCATTTGCTCTCCCTAGGGGGATAAGTCCTGCTACTGAGTGGGAGCTTTTGCTTGCTAGGGTGCTCCATTTACTCACTTCCTTGGCAACCACAGACCTAGAGCTCAGGATGGGGAACTGGGACACAGAGCCTGGCTTATTTATAAGCACCTCATCCCACCTTTACCCACTCAAAGGGAGCCCTTCTTCATATCACACCCAATAGGATGCAAAAAAAAAATCTGAGAGGGAAAATCAAGGGAGGCCCTGAGCAGGGACCCCAAGTCTGTGGAGCAGTCCCATGGGTGATGGCCACTGGTGTCCCTACTACTACTAAACCTGCCTTACAGCCCAGCCCTGGCACCTAGTTTGGCTTGAGTACTCCATGCCTCACTCAGCCTGCTTTCCCACAGCACTGGCAGGAAGCAGTGATGAACATACACAAATCCCTGCAGGAAATAGACTAAATCCCCACTCTCATTGGCCAAGACTACAGAAAGATCACAGCCACTCAGTTTTCCTCATCCTATGATGCAGAGGTTGAGTCAGGTCCTCAGGAATTGCTTCAAACAAGAAAAGGAAAAAAAGAGCTTGCCCACTGCCAAACCCTGCTGTTGCAAAGTTTGGCGGTAGTCCTTTGCCTTTGGGTTCTACTTGCCCCTCAGCCCTGGCCTCAAGTATTTTGAGATAGGAGGGGAGCTCCCTAGGCCCCAATCCCTCTAAGGCGCTAAGATGAAGACCTCTCCAGAATGACTACTGGTGCCAAAGACCCAGTTCCTGGCAAACTTGGAGTGGAAATAGAGGTGGTGAGTGGGGTATGGCCCGAGTGCCCAGAGGAGTTAACTCCCACTGATGGGATCTGTCCCCACCTGCTAGTTCTCAATGAGTGTTAACTTCCCTCTCCCAGGGGCCTGACACCTCTTTTTACCCCTGGTGGCCATGCTTTCTCACCCAGCCGTGTTCCAGGTCTGCATCTCTGTATATAGTGCTATGTATTGTGTGTATGTATTTATTACTGGACAAGTGTGCTCATCTGCAGCCCTTGCCTGAGGATAAGGTTTAGGACTGGGTGAAGATCAAAACACTAGGGCCTTCCTCCCCAACTCCTTGGGACCTTGGCCAATCTCAAGACTGCCCTGACAATCAGGCAGGTGCCCCATTGCAAAGTTAAGCCTCCTCTGCCACCCCAGCAGGGATCTTGTATCCAGAGCAGAGGCTGGAGGTGATCAAGCCTGCCTCATGGCTATCACCAGTAGGCCTGGCTGTAGAGGGCACTGCTGGTGGGGACCTCCACAATTGGCCCCTAGGCCCTACATTCCCCACAGCCACGCTGCCCTGAGCCTGACCGTGAGAGGATACTTCCCCCACCCCAAGCACATCAGGTAGAGGGGTGGAGAATAGCTTTTGGTTTTACTTTTATTTCTAAAGTGGTGCCTGTACCTCCAGCCCCCAGGGGGCCTTCCCTGGCCCCACTTCTCTACCCTACCCAGGCATTGCCATCCCAGCACTTTGTTCATTACCCACTGATGCCCTTTGCCGAATGTACCTGAGTGTGTATGTATTTAAAAAGGACTCATGGGCATCACAGAATTTATTGCTCTGTATCCAATAAAAGATGGTGAAACTGGTGTATCTGCCCCAGGAAAGTAGACATCATGTGGCCATATTTATGTCATTCTGTAATCACAGCCTTTCTGCAACTAAAGTGCACTGAGGTAGGAAGGCAGCTGATAATTCCATAGGGTGAATGAAGAATTGATAAGACCTGCCTCAGGCCTGTGAAGACTGCTGCAGGAAGGCGATCCAAATTACTGCCAAGCCACAGCCCCACCTGCTTTCAGAGTCTGCATCCAGCCTTGGAAGAAGTCATTTCTCTCACTGGGGAGAAGCCACCTTCGAGGATAAACCTAGCACAAGAACAGCAGGAGTTTACCACCCTCAACCTCCCTTGCTGGTTTGGCTACCTCAGAAGGCACTGGCAAACCAATTAGGCTTTACCTAGGGGACACCAATTCACTAGCATAGCCTGTCCTGGACTTACCCATTTTGTAAAGTGGGCTTGTGCTACAAAAATAGCTGAGAATAGATATTCAATGACTCAAGGTGACATATCATTTGCCTCCAGCTCCAATAATTACGAAGAACAGCTTCAGCTACAAGATCAGCTATCAGGACTTTAATTGAGGTGGCTGTTAAGACTCCGCTGGATTACCACCAGTTTATCTGTGCCAGTCATTCCAAATTTTGACTAGTCACATGAAAGCATTATGTACCTATAAGGTCACTGGTGGCTGAACAGAAAAGACTGGTAGATGCTCTTTCAGCCCCCTTCTCAATGTACTTGGGAGGTCACCAGATTTACGGGATGTGACCTCCCCAAAACATCCCTCCCAAAGTCCTCCACTTCAAGATCTTAAGTCTGAAGGAAAAAACTCTGAGCCAAGAGAATATGGAGGTGGAAGAAGCAGACAAGGTAATGCAATCAGAGAAGCCCTGGGAGGCAGAGCTAAATAAGATGCCAGAAAAGGAAGCAAGTCCATATATCCTAGCCACTTCTGGGATAAAGACTGCAAGTACAGTAAAACCTCCAGATAGAGGCACTCTAGTAGAACTCACCCCAGGGGAGTAGAAAATTCTCTTTTCTACCTCTTGGTGGTGACTGCACGTGGAGCCCAAGTTGTGAATAAAACTATGGTGATCAAATAACTTACAAAGCTAAGTCTAAGTCTTAAGTTTTATTTAAATAATCTCCAGCGAGAACAGAGCAGGCCGATTACTACTAATTCTTCAAAAGACCAATGAACCAAGCCAGGGAGGGCAAGCACACTTGCAGTCAGCTGCCAGCCAGTGTTATGTGTAGGACCTCTCAAGGGAGGTGGCCTCGGCCCCGGCCCCGGCCCCCTGCTGGAGGAGCATCCACAGTGGAGCGAGGGTTCTTGATGGTCTCATCAACGGACACAATAAGGCATGCAGCCTCAGAGGCTGCTGTCAGGGCATTGATCCGCACCATAGCTGGTTCCCACACGAAGGCTTCAAAGTTGTCAGCAATATCTTCATTGTTGATGTCCACCCCATACCACATGCCTCCCTGAAAGAGCAGGAAAAGAGGAGGAAGGGCAATAGGAAACCGCTCCCAAGTTTCTTCTTACATACTCTCCAAACATCTGGGATTGTCAGGAATCCTCAGACTGCCTCATGACAGGTTCCAACATGACAGCTGAAGAAGATAGCATCTTCCTGTAGCATCACACAGGAATCACTTCCCAACTGACTCCCGCCAACTATACCCTTCGAACCCTGGATGTGCTAATCACACAAGAGCACTGGGCCTCTCCCAAGAGCTGCTGTTTCCAGTGCTGGCACCATGGCTTTCTTTTTATTGAGCAGAAGGCAACTGCCCAGTTGCACTGGGTTTTGTTCCAGCCTATCACCTGGGTTCAGTGTGCACACCCTGCATAAGCACAGCACATCCTGAGAGTCTAGCCCCACCTACCCCCATCCCTGGACTGTGACAAGAGGAAGCACCCACCTGGGCATGCCGAGCCCGGAGTTTGTTCAGGATGTTTGTGGCATCGAAGCCAGCATTGTCACATAGCTGGCGTGGGATAATCTCCAAGGCCTTGGCATATGCCCCAATCAGTAGCTGCTGTTTTCCTGGAATAGTCCTTGAGTAATCCCGCAGGTACTTAGAGAGCTCCATCTCAATGGCCCCACCACCAGCCACCACTGAATCATTCTGCAGAAACCAGATCACCTTTCAGTGTAAGAGGCACTGACTGGTACATGCTCCAAGGTGGGCCACTCAGTAGGTCCTCTGGCCCAGAAAGAAAGCAGCCTGTTCCTTCCCCCATCCCAAACCCCGGAAGATCAGACAAGGCCCTTCTAGTACATCCCAACTTCAACCTGGTGAACCATAAGGTTACCACCAAGGTCACATGTAGCTTGAGGACACTGGCATAATCACCAGGATAGTCAAGTTCACAATTTGCTAACAAGAACAAGTCTTAGCCTGTAAGACAGCATGACTGATTTTTGAGACTGAAGGTCATTTTCTCTACGATTTGTGGGACAAATCAGGGCCCTCCAAACCACCCAAAAAAGGTCAAGTTACACAGGGAAGGGATCACCACACAAAGCTCAGGGTCTAATCAGCTAGGAACGTAGAGTGGTCTGTGCAGGCAGGAGGCAACCATCAGCCCAGTACCTTGATGGCCCTCCTGACGATCATGATGGCATCATGCAGGGACCGCTCTGTCTCCTCCATAAACTGCTCAGCACCACCTCGGAGAATGAAGGTGCAAGTCTTAGCCTTGGGGCAGCCAGTGAAGAAATTGTACCTACACCCAGGATGAAATCAAACATGTGTGAACTTTCTGCTGCCATCCTGTTGTGTCTACTCTCCCTGCCAGGCCCTCTAAACACTCAGCAGATGTTCTTTTATTCTTTACCCAGGGTGCCCAATCTCAACCTCAAAGGCATTTTCAAGAACAATACAAACTGCACACCACACCAAGGAGATGGGAGAAGGCCAGATGCAGGCTGGTATTGTGAGCTCAGTCTACAGGCAGCCTAGATGCACTTACCTTTCACCTCCAATCTGGGTCTCTTCAAACAGCTGGCAGCGGCCCAGCACATCTGCAGATAGAGCATTCACACTAGTCTGGATTGAGCCTCCGCAGGCCTGAGGAGAAAGAAGGCAAGGTCATCTAGCAGAGAAGGCTCACAAAAAGGCCAAATGGCCTTCTGTCACCCAGTCTCCAAGCCAGTTCCCATGTTGGACTGTGCCGGTCCCCAGAACCCTGTGCACTGGATAATCTGTCCTTTCCCCTGACCCTGAGGCCACCTTTTCACACACCCCCGATGAAAAAGCAGAAAACTGGACAGAACTAAAACACATAAAGAGCAAGCAGGCCTAGTTAAAAGGAGACAGGAATCTTTTCACTTAGGCCAACACTCTTTCTCTAAGACTAAGGTGCTTTGGGCCCAACAACTAAACTCAGGAGTAGAACTTTAGATTTAAAAGCAACTTTCGTGAAACACTCAAGAAAGGGAAAACATCTGGCTAGAAGCAATACTCCTTGAGGCTGTCTGGATGATCAGAGCTAGATTCCTGCTAGATTCTCTCATAATCCAGTTAGACAAACTTTAAAGCAGACTTATTACTAGGTACATGAACACCTGGAATGGAGCACTTCCTGGCAAAAAATAGTTAAAGAGATATTATTACATCAGGTACAGAAGAAAACCCTTCAGGGCTACAAAGGTTGAGAAGCAGCCTGTCCAAATTTGGTTACCATCATTGTCCTCTTCAAATCCTCCTCAGGTACGCGGCCGGCACAGAACATGTCCCTGTCGGCGAAGTACTGCGTGGCCACATCCCCAATAGGGAGTTTGGACAAGATAACTTTGGCTCCAGAATTATAGATCTTCTCTAATTTGTCATAGAGAATGTTCCACTCAGCATCAACAATTGCCTGATAATCCTGAAGAGACCCAGAAAAAGATGAGTATGTTTTGGGATGGACGTTGGCATATATGGTTAGCCACAGTCTTACCCTCCCCATAATAAAACATACTGACTTATCAGGAATTAACAAGGGTGAATAAAATAGCCACTCCTCAGTCCAAATGAACAAGGATGCTTGAAGACAAACAGATACCACCTAATACTTTCAAACACAAAACCAGAAAGTAACCCTGGGCCAGCAAGCTATGCTAGAACTGGCAGTGCCAGGTATGAAAAACAGTCTTAGCTGGGGAATTCTAGCCTTTTCTGAGGTACTGCACCCACAAACTTCCCAATGACAAAACCCCTCCCCAAAAGCCATTCTGTGCTGGGTGCCACTGTTAACTCCAGAAACAGCCTTGATAATAGCGATGACAGGAGCATAGAAGCACAGGAGACCCAGTCAAGAAGGGGAGGAGCCCACACCTGTCCAAGAGAGCCCAAATTCCAAGCAGGCTGTGTAGCTGGAGTGGTTCTACCAAGCCCATCCTGAGGTCTAGAGAATAGCTGAGTATTTCAACAGGTCTTCCATATCCAAATTGCCTCAAGTTGAGGTCAGAAAAAGCACAGAATGAGAAGAGTAGTGGGATCAGTATTTAGCCAAATACTCGGGTTGGGCAGGAAGATAGGGGACCCACAAGGAACCTAAGAAGCAGAGTTGGGCCTGAGATAGCCAAGAAGACTGGAGACCTTGGCCCAGACAGCAGACCATTTTATGCCACCACCAGCTAGAGGACCTACCTCCACTGTGTGGACTCTGATTTCAGCATTGTCTTTCTCAGCTTTCAGCTCGAGTTCAACATTTAACAAGGCAATTGTGGGGTTATTATACTTTTTAGGTTGCATTTCAAACCCAGCATAAGAGAAAGTCTTCTTGAATGCAACACCAGCCACCAGCTGTGACTCCTGGTTAAAGACACAGACCAAAAGACAGTTCATCGGTTTGCTACCACCATGAAATAAGATCAAGGCAGTGCTGCTGGAGATAATACACAAAGAGGTCTTGGGTTTGGTTCTCAGCACTGCCTCCCCCACCCCCAAAAGCTAGTGCTTGTCAGTTCCTGTGAACCTGAATTAAAAACATTTTTATTTTACTGGTATAACAAAGCCTTCCTATTATGACAAAATTTGAGACAAATCGATTT